ATCATGTAATACATGCAGATGAAAAGTGGGAAAAAAATCAAGTAATTCATGGATAGCTAGAGATCTGGATTTAGGCAATACTGTTGAGCAGCTAAATAGCCCCTCTCCTTAGGTGGCATTTCCCCTGTTCCATGAGCCCTCCTACACAGGTGATGACATTCCCAGCCCCATGCTCATATTGTACTCTCCTCGGTCCAGGGTCCCACCCTGCATCCCAATGGCCTTCTCATGTTCCAAGCTTCTCATTTCTTTCCTCCATCAGCATTTACTTGCCTGTCTCATTTCCTCAGGGTACTGCTCCCTGGTGGTATTTTGATATATTAACTTTTTGAAAATAATTTGCTCAAAGTAAAATAATTTGCATTTTAAAAATTAAGTTTAACTTTGTAGAGACATGTCATAAATAGTACTTAAGGGACTTTGGGCATGTTAAAAATTAGGCCATTTTCTTCTTCTCAGATCGTGTATTAATAGTCCCATCCAAACTTTGGGCGTGTTAAAAATTAGGCCATTTTCTTCTTCTCAGATCGTGTATTAATAGTCCCATCCAATTATGTAGACCTATAGCTAAGTCATTTGACTAAGGCACAGCAATATTGAAGCCAAGTTTGATACTTAAAATAGGCCAGTTGGTGTTGCTATTCGTGTCAGATGAAATGAACATGTAAGTCTCCAGTGTGAACCAGACATACTTTATGTGGATGGCTTGGTGCAGACCCGTGGTTACTACTGGAAAAGAACAAAAGTATCCGTTGCTTGTGGTCAGCGGATTCACCTTTGTGAATGAAGTTCCAAAAACAAGAGACAGTGTCATTTGGTCAGAGCTATACATTTATTGTCTGTGACTCTGCATGTATAGCAGAGATGTTTCTGGCAATTAATGTTACGTGACTACAAAAAGATTTGAAAATGCATAATCAATCATTCTAAGAAAATATGGAAACTCTTAAAAAACAAAACTTTAGAACATTTTGATTTTCACAGACAACAAAGAAAGAAAACACTCATCCCCAGAGAAACAGGGATACAACTTTGAAAGCTTAAATTATCCAATTTGATCTCTCAGATTTTGTTGGATGTTTGCTGTGTTCACATCATTACAGTTTCCATTTTCTTTTTATTTTAAACTACCCAGTTTTTTTTTTTCCAAGGTTTTCAGTTTTTTGGGCACACATTGAAATAAAGAATGTAAAATCTGTTTTTATTAACCTCTTACATACTTTACAGAATACTTCACCTCCAAATGAACTCATTCTAATTTCTCTTATGAGTTCTCCTTTACTTCCCCTTTGTACACTTTCCTTTCCAGAAACAGAGAATGCTAAGTTCTGTCTGACCAAAATGACCATCAACTTTTAGTCAGAAGAGAAAGGGACACTGATTAGCTACCGTCTTTGTAACCAACAATTCTCTCCTCTCCCAATGCCCACCCTGCTTCCCAACCCGGCCACCACGTGCCCAAGAGAGCAGCTCCCACAAAATGATGGCTTAGCAAGAGTTCACCACAGCAACCCGCGGATAGGAAACTCTTCTTTGACAGGTGCCGTAAATGAGCCTTATTGAAAGTGAAGTTTCCAGCAGCGGTCTGTGCAAGTAGCTTCAGGCTTTTCTTCTACAATTCAGCCCCACCAAAGAACTGTCAATCACAATTCCCTGATACAACTTATTCAATGATTCATCTTCTTACCTAACCTCTCCAACCTGGCCCAATGGCTCTTATTTTATTGCCCAAGGTGAAGGGATATTTCTACCCATCCTGTATTAGTGTTTCTAAAACTAAAGCTCACCTAAAATCTTAGTATCAAACTAAAATAGCTCAGCTGTTTTCAACTCACACTTAAAATGTAATATTTTATATGTCAATTAAACTAATCTTCAAAGTTTTAAGAATGCTTCAATTTGTTTTGGTTTTGGTATGGTTAAAAAAAAAACAACAACTATTTTTTAAATTCCCTTCCCTGGTTGGTGTCACCTTCTGAAATGGCAGGGGCTGTATTCAACCAAACAAACTGGCTTGGAAAAAACCATTTCCAAGAATTTCTAAATTCAGAGAGAGTTATTTAGGCATCAGGTTGATATAGCACAATCTGTCTAGTCTTTCCCTTCAGCTTTCCTAGCATGTAAGCAATCCCAGCAGGGAGAGAAAAAGTTCCTTTCTGGCTCACTCCATAATTCTTGCTTGACCCATATTTTATGCTACTTCAAGCAGAAATATGCTGAGCAACTCATAAAAAAGTATTTGAAAAGCTCCTTGAGGACAGTTTTCTCATCCTTGATAGAGATGACTACAGATGTCCACACGGCCTCCTCTACAGACCCTGCTTCCTGCCACAATGGGCTTGTGCACTAAGAGGGTTTTATTTTCTCGGTTTTTGGCAGCTAAAATATCAGCTTTTAGAAAAGAGGATCCTGAAGATGGAGCAAGTCTAAATTGTATTATGCCATCATTTCTAGCCACCTCTCCTCACTTCTAAGAACTTGAATGATAAATAAGTAAATGACAATGGTTTTTATTGAAATTAGGAGAGTTTGATTTCAAAGGAGCTGATGCATTTAAAAAACAAAGGCCTAGGAATAACAAGACAAGGGTGATATTGCTGGTCCTGAACATTCCCAGCTGTGAATTCTTCTATCGGTCATCTGAGCCCTCTGATTCTCTGATTGCTCACTCAGAAAACAATGATAAGAATATCTGCAATGAATACCTCATCCACTAGGTGTGATAACATGAGAAAATGGATGACAAAACACGGGGCATTATTTTCATAATGCAGATGGGATTATATGAACTTCACTGTGAGGTTTGAAATGGGAGATGTTTATCCAAACACTTAATAATAATACTTATTTCTGCAGTTAGTGAACAGGAACTTGCTGGCTTTTTATATGTTTATATCTCTTACCAGTTTTTCTCTATAAGCTTCAAACTAATTATATGGCGTTGTATATAAATTTGATCCTATAGCATCTTGGCAAAATGCATGGTTGACTTATATTCATGGTACATTTATAGTAGCAGGGAAATAATATATTTATATTTTAGAAAACGAGGCATGTTATTTATCATCTATTAAACAAAATTAAACAAGAAAGTATGCTATGTTATCTTGATTTCCTTTTGATTATAATTTCAATAATGACTTCAAGATTCAATCATAGCACTTTAAACGTGTGAGAATACCCAGTAGAGCATTATTCAAAGAAAGGGGATTAAAAACATTTTGCTACAAATTTTAAGAACCATATCTTAAAAAAATCAGGCAAATATTATTTAGTACTTAACTCATGATAATTAAAGATAGAGTGTTAAATAAGGGAAGCATTTGATTACTGTGACATTTATAATAATGGAATATTTGAAGTCAGAAAATGAATAACATTAAGAAATCAACTGAACTTATTTGATGGGAGAAAAGTGAGAGGTGGAATTTTAAGTACTTTTGGAAAGTACAACAAGTAAGGCTAACTAGAAAAGGAAATCATGCTTTGGTGCTAATCTGTAAACAGGGCTGCGTAAATGCATATTCAGAATTACCCTAACATTTAAGCTAATAGTTCCCTTAATTACCTGGCTAATTCAAGAAACATCACAGTGGTTTGCCCTCTGTACTGCCAAATACACCTTCCACTGTCCCTAAATATCTGATTAGTTAGGACAAGGGCATATTAAATTTTTTAATTTTCTGAGAATAAAGAGAAATGCAATAGGAAAGTGCAAGGCTTGAGTTTAATTTTGTGGCAAGTCTAGAATCATAAAAGCAAGTATTTTAGGGCTGGAAGGTACTTAAGGGGGCAAACACTACTATTCCATTTAAAAAAAAACCTTTATTTTATATACGTTTTTGAATTAAATTGAAGATAATTTTATAATCACCCTGGTTTGATTCTTGTCACTGGTAGTGGCACTCTTCCTTGGGGAAAACTCCACAAATATTGGGGTCAAATTAGGGACAGATATAAATTCGCTTTCCTTTCTGAACATAGCTATGGAATCAAGTTTAGAAGCACCTCCAGAGCAAGGGCTCATAGGATTTGTCTTTCTGTATCCAGGAACCTGAGAAGATTGTGAAGTAGATCAGATGTGGAAGAAAGAAATAGTGGAAGCATTGCCTAGAGTAGCCCAACCCCATTATTTATTTATATGTTTAGACAAGCTCTGGTGCTTTTATGTGGTAATAATTTTCCATCTACCTTATAATGTTTCTGACATGGAATTTTGTTCTGCTCCCAAATGTTCTATCATTACAGCTCTCGCTAGCAATGGAGCTGTAACTATAAATACTCTATTGCAAGGAATCAAATGAGAAAGCAAAAACTGACACACTCATTTTAAGCTGCATTATATAACAATGGCTCAGAACCCAGTAGTTTATGAATGAAATAAAGATACTTTATTTATTACACAGGCACTTGGATATTCACATGCCCAACACGTCTGATACACTTAACAACTACGGAAACATGGGTGGAAAATGTCTGTTTGTAGGATCAAGAGAGAACTTGCACCATGTAAAGGTGAATGAGTGCAATAACAATTTTTCCTTTACTTTCCTCTAAATTTCCAAAATCCACTGAATTTTTAAAAAGTTACACTTGAAATAATATGCAACAAAAACTGATCTACATTCCAACGGGTATGCTAACTCGAATTGTGAGCAAACTTTTATCACAATGCAACAGATTTATAGTCATGCTTAAACAGATTAGGTTAGTAGCATGCATTCCATTCTGCAATATGAATATTGTTAATCTATTTCCCAACAAAAGTTAAAAGATGCCCAGTCCATAGAAAAATACAAATCACTGTAGTCAATATATTTTGGGACTGATCTTGGGACTTACATGGTGATGATGAAGTCCTGAAAATGCCATGCCCACAAAAGCACATTAAGAAGTGGATAAACACATTTTATCAGACAATCTCTAAAAATTAAAAGATGAGGGCTTTAAATTTGGGGGATGTTCTTGCTGTGTGCTTTGAATAGTGCCTTTCTGCTCACCTCCTTCTGGCTTGACTGGTCCATCAGACATCACTTTCCTGAGGGCTAGCTGGCTTTGGTCTTGGTTGCCAGTGGCTGGTGGAGGCAGATTATCAGACTGAGTTCTTTGAATGGGGAGGACTCCTGCTATGCTGTGTCTGTGCTGCTTCCTGGCATGATTAGACTGACCGCTTTTATGTGCTGCTGTGGCAGTGTGGGTGAGATGGAAACCCAGAGTGTGTATCCTCAGATGGAACCAGCTTAAATGTTATGCATGCAAACAGAAGTGTTCTTTTGCTCTATTTAAATAAGTTGTGTTTTCGAATGCCAAAATCACACCACATGCACAGCACTGAAAGGGGGTAAAACTGGCTGTTTCTTTGGAAACGATGATCTTGGGAGATAAGGAGAACATTAGTCTATCGCCATTGTCTGGCTAATGCCTCTTGGAAGTAACAGTGCACCTATATTTGTGAAATCTCTGCACTTTCATATAATTTTATTATTTGACTAAATTTTTACAAATTAAATGTAAATACAGCAGTTATGATGGGTAAATTGTTATGTTTTAATTAATTTACAGCTACTAGATATTGTACTTCTTGACTTTCAAAAGATTCCCTATGGTTAGAAAAGAACCCTATAAATTCTCTGTTATCATATACAAAGAGTAATCCAACAGAGTGTAATCCAGCCTTACTGAGGTTGCATTGCCTCATCGCACATGCTTATATATATTAATATTATGTACTTTTTGAGAATATAACAAACATGATTTTCTTCACAGATTTTTTTCAAAAGACTAGAAAGTTTCCCACATGGAAAGCTAGAACATTCCACATGCATAATTTGTTAGTGTTTTAAAGCGTTGGCTTGAAATAGTTTTTCCCCCTAGGTTCTGGAACTTGACTGTTGGTCGCATTACTCTCTTGCCTAAAATTTTTGAGTGTTTTCAGATGTGAGACTCTCATTGCTAAGCTGCTTTAAGTGCTTGTGTGTGTGTGTTTTTGGTGTAATGCCTGGAAAATTGGCAGCCACTTGTGATTATAATTCCTGTACTCTAAAGGACATTTAAGCACATACAAAAAGGACACACAACATTGCTTTGCCTGCAAACATCACAGACATAGCTACCAAATACTATGAGTCAGGTTGGATGGATGGTGGAGACAAAGGAGAAACAGCCAGTTTTATTGCGATCTATGTAACTTAAAAAAAAAAATCTAAATAAGAAAGAGCATGTTTATGTATTGAGACTGTTCTTACACAGACAGAGGGACAGAGTGAGCAGGGTATGCCAAAAACAGAAAGCAAACAGGGAAGGACAGCAGGAAAGAAAGGCAACAGATGAACATTAAGCTGCCATGCTGAGGAATTTATTTGCGTCTTTTACTTGGTTGAAGGCGGAGTTGTTGCACGGCGGCTTCAGCAGCGGCTATGGCAGCTCCTGCATCTTCCAGGTGGGTCTGGGTGACACTGGTTTTGCTTTGACTGCGAGATGGTCCATGAGAGCGGAGATGGCCTTCAGAGGAGGATTTCGAGCTACCAGGACTACTATGGGATTTCTCAATGGTGGGAACCTGCATGTCTGGTTACAAAAGGATAAAACATGAGTCAAAGTTGCCCTAGCAGTCTTCTCATCAAGCTTGGTCTCACATAATTGGAAACTGCCTAAGATTTATGTTAATTCTGTTTCTTTTTTGACTCATTTGTGCAACTGCTCACTGCACAGTAATGTGATTAAACATTCGGGGAACAATTTTTGGAGGAAAGGCAAAAGGATGATAATCTTGAGAAGAGATAAGTTTGAGAAGAGGAATACATTCTAACTACCCTCAAGTAAATGCATATATTAACTTATAGTCTCACCAAGCAACTATGCTAATTACAGTAGGGACCAGGTAAGAGACAGCAGGCTTACACTGCTGCAGGAGAGATTTTAAGTAAAAATGGAGTGAATTCCTGGATGAAAGGGTCTGAGTCTCTAGGACATATTAAAAGTGGAGATTGTAGAATCTCTGTCTGAGGCGATTTTAGAGAATGTAGATACAGATCACACATTTACTATAGTAGTTGCAGAGAGAGAGGTCTTTATACTAACAATATTCCAGAATGTTAATCAGAGCAGAGTTGATCTGGCTAAGTTGAACCCATAAATGATCTATAAAACTCATTCATAAGTACTCTGTAGCGCTCATTATAGTCAGTGGTTTGTCATATCGACTCAGTGGCCTACTGGACATGACCTCAGTTTTCTACCTCCTAGAACACTTGTGGTTACGATGCCTTCCCTTTCTAATGTGCAAAGAACCACTTTTTAATTTGATGTGCTTTCTGAGAAGAGGAGAGAAGGAAGCAATATTCAGGTTCAATATAAAAATTTGTATGTGATAATTATAAATAGTTCCGTATATCTAGGTAAGATACTATGTGGTTATCTCTTAATAGGCAGTAACCGAGTTTATAATGAAGACTAATGTTGTGTTGTAGGATAATTGGTAATGAACCTGCCAAAGGAAAAGCTCATTCAAATGGGAATGCTGCACATATTGGCAAACCCAATGTATGACACTGCTATTTAAAAAAAATCCATAGAATTGGCTTGACTCCAAGATTTAGGAAAGATTTCAGTCTACCAATTGTTTTGATGACATGGGGAAAATGTTTTCGATATGCTAAGTAAAAAGAAAGATGCAAAATTATATATGTTCATTACATATATATTACACATTATTACATATATATCAGTAAGAATATACCTATGAAAAATAGGGTATTTTAGAAGAAATATGCATAAATAGTAAAGGTGATTATGTCTAGTCAATGAACTGGTGAGGATTTTTATATGTTATTTATGAAATACCCCAATTCATATTATAAAATCATATCATCATGGATTTTGAGAGCTGGAAAAGACCCAATAGCTCATACAGTCCAACCTTCTCCATTTTACAGGTTGAAAATGGAGAGTCAGAAAGATGAAGATCACAAAGTCATAAAGTTAATTATGGGGTGATCTGACACTAAAGCCCATTTCTCCTGATTCCATATCCATCATTCTTTGCATGATACTATATTAAGTATTTTCCACCAGAATGTAACCCTTCAAAATATATTAAACATAAAGGCATTCATATTCAAGAAAACACCAAGTGAACAAACAGACAAAAGCTTTTTCTACTTGAAGCATCTCCTACCCTTGGATGGGTCAGGGAAGATGCCATGGCTTCTGCTTTTGATGACAGATGGCTTTGGGGACTGCTGGCTGCTTGGACTGGAATGGGACTTGCCATGATCAATACTTTCAGTCTGTTCTTTGAGAGGATACCACCTAGGAGTGTTATCAAGGTGAGATGTGCTCGATAAATCAATCAATACCTGAAAAAAAGGGCAATAATCCCATGAAATTTGTGGATTAAGCTATAATTCATTCACTTCTTTTTTCTATGATCTGAAATTTATTCAAGAATATAAGCCAAAGGATATAGCATAACCTTTGAGGTTGATGAGGCCATCGTCCTCATTTTTCTTTACTCATGATATTGGGTACAATGTCTTGTGCAAACTGGATGCTTAAAAAATGTTTGGTTACAGGCCGGCCCTGTGGCTGAGTGGTTAAGTTTGTGTGCTCAGCTTTGGCAGCCCAGGGTTTGCCAGTTTGGATCCTGGGCACAGACCTACACACAGCTCATCAAGCCATGCTGTGGTGGCATCCCACATAGAAGAACTAGAATGACCTACAACTAGGATATACAACTATGTACTGGGGCTTTGGGGAGAAAAAAAAAAAAGAACAAGATTGACAACAGATTTAGCTCAGGTCAATCTTCCTCATCAAAAAGCAAAAAAAAAAAAAAAAGGTTTGCTTAAATTGAACTGTATAAAATCTTTGACTATTAATTAAATAATATTGAGATGATATAAAAAGGTAGCATTACAAGTCAATCTCTTTATAAAATAAGGCTTTCTTTTGTTAAATGGACATACTCTAGTCCTAAACGACTAGCATTTTTGAATATTGTTTCATTTTAGTTACAAGAAGGACAAACAAAAAAATGGTAATTTGCAATTACTAAGTTACTTCCTCTATTTTAAAACATACTTTAGTTCACATTTGAAATAGGGATATGTCTAACAGTTGATGATAAGAAAGCACTGTGTCATGGTTTCATTGGCAGGATTTTTCTTTCTTTGTAGTTCATAAATGACGGTGCACTTTACAGTTGCTGGAGTCTTAGATTTGATGAGATGTAAAAATATGAAAAGCAAGCACAATGGATATATGCTCTAGGTTCATGCAAACATAGGAAGACAATAAATTAAGAGGACTTCAATAAGTCAGTTTTTTGAAATGGGACATCAAATCAGATATAACACTACATTCTAAAGTAGTCCTGCCTAAGCCGTCCAAGTGGTTGTATCAGGATGGAGCCTGCTGGTGAAAGTCAAATGGCTTAGTTTTAATGGGAAAGTAAAGAGTCTCAGAACCAAACAAGGCCTCATGTCACCTAGACTACACTACTTTTTCTACTGTCTCTACTAAAAGGATATCATATTTTCTAGGGGTTAGATTTGGGGGAGGATGACTTATGTTTTAACATTAATTCATACCCTCTGCTCTAAGCAAAGATTGCTAACAAATATATATATATTTTCGGAATATGATAGATGAAAAAAGTCACAGGATCTGACCACTCTACCAGATTTCATGATTAGGTTAGATTTCCTTTGAATTTATGTAAAATCGTTTTCTCCTACTTCTAGTTTTGCTTCCTAATATATTTTGAGAGATTTTTCAAGGGATACTTAAAAGAAATAAGAATGTCAGATATCACGTCAAGTCATATGCAGTGAGGAATAGCAATTAAATAACCTACAAATGCATTTAAAAAAATCCAGCTCATTTTGTAATATAATAAACTTATCTCAAATCTTTAACATGATTATTTGGACTCGGGGCTGGCCCGGTGGCGCAGTGGTTAAGTGCGCATGTTTCGCTTCGGTGACCCAGGGTTCACCGGTTCGAATCCTGGGTGCGGACATGGCACCGCTTAGCACACCATGCTGTCGTAGGCGTCCCACATATAAAGTAGAGGAAGATGGGCAGAATGTTAGCTCAGGGCCAGTCTTCCTCAGCAAAAAGAGGAGGACTGGCAGATGTTAGCTCAGGGCTAGTCTTCCTCAAAAAAAAAAAAAAAAAATTTGGACTCACAGCACAATTATATAAATTTCTATGAAAACAATTAGTATTTCATCTCACAAAGTAATTATAGAGTAGATCAAGTGGTAAAATAAAAACTATTTCTTGAGCTGCTATTCATCTATTCAAAAAGTAAATCAGAAAATAAGTTATATCCACCAAAGGATTTTATCCAGGAATGGCTACCTTATAAACTTAAGAAATATGTTTTGCATCAAGCTTTAATTGGTGGTTTACAATGAAAGTAAATAAAGAAAAGGAAATCAGAGGCTCACCTCACCAAGAAAGTCATTGGAAGAAAATCTATCATAATCCCAGACTGTCACCTCCAGTGTTTTCTTCTTGAGCTACAGTTCAAATAAAAATGTCATTAACCCCATTTTTCATCAAAAATTTTCATTACATTCATATAAGAGACTCACATATTTTCATTTACTTGAACTCTTTCCATTTATGTAAAAATACTTTAAATTTTATGTGAAACCATGTGGATTTATAATAAATATTATGGAAAATGCCATTTTGCAGTTCAACCCAGTGTTTGATTATGATACTTCATTATTTTGTAAATAAATGATGACTTTTACTTATTACCTGTTATTCTAGCCCTGCCCATTTCTAAACACAGAAAGCAGAATACATACATACTCTTTAAGTACAAAGAATTAATAGGTTGCAAAACTGTCTAGGTTATTTAAAGTATTTTGATTATAGTTTTTGTTTCAGCAAGTTGCAAAATAGCATTGTAGCATTGTCTTATTTCTGCAGGTGGATGTAACTTAAATTCAAGAACCTAGATTACAGCTTCAATTTCATAGACAAATTAGAAATCTTCCAGAGGACAAATTATAAGTCTCATTTTGAAAGACAACTCATTTGTAAATTATTTCATATGGATGTCTTCTTCCTATTCTATTTGTATTGTTTTCTCTCTGAATTCAGCCTTATAAAAGATTATTTTCTGCTATTTGTGAAAAGTTATGACATGAAGATTTTCAGAAACACTTTGATATAACTTTGCCTAGAGTCATTTATTTGTGGTGATAGTCCTCTACACTAGTCATCTTTATGCTTTCTTCTGTACAATTTAGTCCCACAATGCCAGATTCTTAGGAGGCCTCAATTCAGAGAAGAGGTGATGCCTGACAATGTTGCCTGGTGGGGTAACACATTTCTGTGCATTGAGTCTTTTTTTCCTTTGTGTTTTTTATGAAAAGCAAAATATAACAGGTTGGAAAATATTTTCCCTCAAAATATGATAATATGGCCCAGTCTATTGAAATATTTAATTTTGAAATGATCAATGGAAAATGTGCCACTAGTCTTATTTATTTATTTGTTTATTTTTTGGCGGTTTTGACAAAATGCACACATTTACTTTCACTGTATCTTTGAACTGCACCCATTTCCTTTCACTGTCTACATTTCTTATGTGTATTTTACTCAATTCTTTTTGTTTGTATGGCAAAATTTTGACATGAATCACATCTTTCAATAATTTTGTCATCACCATTATATTAGCCTAAATCAGTCACATAGAGAATAATTGTTGCATACCTGTTCCATGGAGATACTTTTATAAATTACTGTTTGATTCCACTCAGGATTAAGACTTTTCTGAACATATTTAGTCCTTCTTTTAGACTCAGCACTGAATTGGAAGAAAAGAAAGAGTTATCTTGATTATTCACTTTAACTGATGACTTCATAGTCAACCTGAAGGGCACGCAGACTTTTACAGATATTTTGTTTTGAATTACTATGTAATCATCTCATCATCCTCATGTCTTAAACCTTATTTTAAGTTGAATGCACAATAACAATTTAAAAATACGTTGGATGCCTTTAGTTTTATTTGCTTGAAGTTAGTTTTTTAAGGAAAAGCTTTTAGGTGTTCTAACTATACTGTAATTTTAGAAATCTTACTCTCTCCTGAATGCAGGAGATAATTACATGAACTATATGGTAACAGCAATATCTTCTTTTCCAATAAATAATAATTTGGTATTTAACTTTCCAATAGTTTTGCAACTAATCATGTCAGCAAAGCCAAATGGTCTTTCAGTTCATTTTTTCCCATAAAAAACTATAATAATTCTTTGACTGAGGAAAGGATGAAAAACTTCTGTTGCTATAACTGACATTCCATTAACATTTGTTACTTTATACTTAAAGTATATTCTGACACTCTTAGTAAAGTAGAATATTTAATCTAGTTATAAAACAATTTAACTTAAATATAAATTATTGGTTTATGTCAATAGCTTATGTTACAAATGATAAACCAAATCAAAACTTTTCCTCATTCATTATAACTTGGGGCATTTGAGTTTATCCTTGACTTTTCCACTCACTCTGAGCAACATTTAGAAGCTTATTTCCTACATATTTAAACACAATTTATTTCCAAAATCTATTCTAATTAAGTCTGACAGGACATCTATAGCTGGCATCAACCAGCTGATGGGATTGGAATTACGCTATCTGATATTAGCCAATGGTGCCCAAACAAACAAGGCCTTTCTCTAACCCTCACTGCCTTTTTCTGAATTTCCTGCCTAGACCAGAGTCCTGAAAACCAACCTACTTGTCTGGGGTCCTTTCACGTGCCTTGACTTCACAAGCTGCCTTTCCCTAAAGGGACTGGATCCTGACTCTGGATCTGTAGTTTTATTCCCAACTATGGGCAAACTAATTCTTGCTACAGTCCTGGGCTCATGTATTGCCATACCCTGGAATGCCTACTATTGTTCCCCAGGCACTAATTTACTTATCCATTCTAGATAAAGATATTGAGAATCCAGCTCCAGTTCACCTCACTTTTAGAGGTGAATCTATAGCCAAGTATCTTTCTTCTCTCTCTAGCTGTATTCCTTTTCTTACCAGCCATATGCAAGGGCAGTAACTCCCAACATTGACTGTATGTTAGGATCACCTTGGATCTGAGTTCCAAGGGTGAGAGGTGGGGCAGCCAGCATGGTACCCACATACCCTCGCCCTTCACCTCCAAGGAGAGTCTGATTTAATAGGTCTGGGGTGAGGCTTGGACATCAGAATTTTTTAAATCTCCCAGGTAAATCTAATACATAGCCAAGATTGAGAACCACTGAGTACATCTAACACCTCACATTTCAGCCATTGTGAACTGAATCCAGTTTAGGAAATAAAGCTGCACTCTTCTCCCTTCTAACCAACCTATTTGAATGTACGAAATTAAGAGCAAGATTTCTCAATTCCATCATTTAAGATAAACTGCAAATAATTCTGGGGAAATGTATATGCAATCATTTAAAGAAATAGGAACTCTCACAGACTGTGGACACAAAGTATAAATTTGTACGCAGAGTTTTAGATAAATTTGTCTATTTATACTGAAGTTCAAGTTTATGTACCCAAACACCCAAAAAATTCCACTTCGACTATAGAGAAATTCTCCCACCTGTACATAAGGAATTTGTTCAAGAACATTCATTTATTTGTTTCTAGTAGCATATTAATAAGATAATAAATAAATACATATGATATGTTCATTCAATGAAATTTAAGCAGCAGTTAAAATGAATGAAATATACCTCCATATATCAAGATAGATAAATCTTAAAAGAAATCGTGAGCAAAAAATTTGTAGAAAGATAACTATAGTAAGTTATGATATAAAGTTAAAATCATGTGAAATAATACTGTAAATTATTTATGCATAATGTATATATGTACAACAAACATATGTATTAATATCATAAAACAGCTTGGAAATTATAGATAAAATTCTGTTTAGTAGTTATCTCATTTGGACAGGGGAATGGTTTCAGAGGGCTTCAGTGGTACCTGTAAAATGTTTTTTATTTAAAAAAGTCTGGGGGCCGGCCCAGTGGCACAGCGGTTAAGTACGCACGTTCCGTTTTGGCAGCCTAGGGTTCGCTGGTTTGGATCCCGGGTGCGGACATGGCACCGCTTGTCAGGCCATGCTGTGGTAGGCGTCCCACACATAAAGTAGAGGAAGATTGGCACGGATGTTAGCTCAAGGCCAGTCTTTCTCAGATAAAAGAGGATGATTGGCAGATGTTACCTCAGGGATAATCTTCCCCGGGGGAAAAAAAAAGTCTGAAGCCAGTATAGCAAAATGTTAAGATTTGATAAGCTGGATGGCAAGAACACAAGTATTTGTTAGAGTATTTTCTATAATTTCCAGTAAGTTTGAAATATTTTGTAACAAAAATTCAAAATTATTTTGGTAAAGTATATCCATTTATATTTTATGCTTTTGATTTTTTTAAATGACATAGGAAGAATGAATGTGACTAGTCTTAAGTTAATAGAAAACTTTGGTTGCTACTTTAGAATTCATGGCTATTACTCTAGGCAGGTATACTTAGAAGAAAAACATATTGTAGTATGAGTTTTAAAGTTTCTATTTGTTTTGGACCTAGTTATCAAGGTGGTAAGATCATGGGAAAAGGATAAAGATTCATAATATAATGGACAGTAGTAAAATTGTCATTTTTTTCAAATTCTGTAAAATTGAATGCATAAAGTTTTTTAAACAAGATTGAAGACGGAAATTAGTGTCAAATGCAAACTCATGCACTTTTACTAAAATTCTACATATGTCAATATGTATTAAAATAGTCTGCACTATTAAAGTGTCTTTGAAAGGATTTATTAGTCACCATCTTTTCTTAATCTATAAATACAAATAATTGTTATAATTTTTCACATGTATATTTTAGTCATTTTTTTAATTAACACATCTAGCAAAATTATGGAATGCCAACTTTGTACCAGGAACTATGCTTTATCAAAACGTACAGCTGCAAAACTCTTATTTAATTGTTTTGACATACCATTATATATTTGATTTACGCATGAAAAGCACTTTATAATGTAAGCACATTAAAATAATAACAGCTAACATTTATTAAATGCTTACTTTTTCTCAGGCAGAGTTCTAAGTGCTTTTCATGTGTTGACACATTTAACTTTCATAGCAACCCTACGAGATGGGTATTATTATTCTATTTTATGGATGGAAAAAACTCAAGCAAAGAAGAATTAAGGTATGTTGGCCTTATATTAGTTATGCATAGTTACTAACTCATAGGACCAAGATTCAAACACAGAGACACTGATTCCTTGTTCTTAAACATATGCTATGTGAACTGAATTGATTAGGCCTGTCATAAAATGTGATTAATGCATCAATTTTCTTAATTGCAGGCTTCATTAGCTGAAATATCTAGTTTGTCTTCTTTATCTTATGAAGTTCTGAACTTCAATTTAAATGTATATATGTTTAATATATATAAGTTATATATTATGTGTGTGTATATATATGCCTATCATCAAAATATTAAGCCAGTTTTAGAGTTGCTTAGGGAAATACTGAAAGCTATATCCCAAGATAGTGTTGTGGAACAGCTAGGGATCATTATTACATATATTTATTTTTGCCCAGATACACGCAGAAATAACGTAAATTAATTGAGAAAAATTTAGATGTTCATTTTAACAGAGTATCTTAATCTTATTAATGAGTTTGATTTTCTAATTCTGTCCAGACTCAAGGTATCCATTGCCTCTAGGATTAATGAAGGTAAACACACCTCACTACTGAGCCTGCCTCCACCAGCCCTAATTGACCCATGTAAATGCCAATGAAATCCTTTGCAGTCTTTTCACACTTGAATTTCCTGACACGCAGAGATGGCTGCACAAAGTCATTCCTTCAATAACACTTCTTTTATAACTACCACATACTGGCCATCTTGAGCACGATCCCAATGGGCTGTGTTGCCACTTTACACAATTGAAAACTCTCCACAATTCTCATAGCCATGACAAATCTGTGGATTACAAGTTGAAGATGGCCAGGTAAGAAGCAGAATTCTTGAATGTGAGCATAAATTCAGGTTGAGAAAATAGTGGAGCTCATTTTCTTTTTCCTTCCTTGTCTAGGAAACGTACTATATTCCTTCATGGAAAGACTGCAATAACGATATTATATTAGGGCAATTAGGCTATCTCTAATAATCAGAGAAGTTTTTTAGTAAGAGAAAATAAAAAGTCAATTAATCAAGATGCGAAATGGCGCTTACAAAAAAAATCTAAGCCTTCATCCCCTTGAAGTTTTTTCTTTCATTTTTTATTATTGGCCAGTCATTTTTGCATAAATAGCTATGATTTTAAGCCAGGCAGAAAAAAGATACTTAAAATTCAATTATTCTACCCTAAACGAGAAGGAAAAAACAGTTCTCAGAGTTTCTCTTTTTAATTTCAAAAGAAAAATTGAGAAAGATGAATGGAATATGATGGCTTCTTTGTATTTAACTTTCATAGAATTATCTAAAACACTGAAGGTCTTCATTTCTTTTATTTTATTTTGTTTTCCTTTATTGGAAATATACACAATGAGTCCAATAAAGAAATATATATGTGCATATAATTTTTTTCAAAATTACTCCTTTGAAGGTGTTTCCCTTAATTTGTGCAGAGCATATCCCATTTTATAAGCTCTGTTCTTCTGTGCAATAATGTGTTTATGGCCTGTCACTTTATTGTCCTCTGTGCTCCCAAGATCACAGACTATGCCTGTGTTGTCAACTCTAACCCCTACACCTAGCACTGTGCTAAAGAAATGTCTATTGGGTGGATCCTTAAAACATGCTTGTACTCCTTTTTTCCTCTAAAATCTATTGAAATAAAATAAGTTTTGGCCTTCAAATTGTAAATACATACAACACCTGTCCCTGCTTTACACAGGTCCAGGAGGAAATAGTTTGACATGCAAACACGGGTGTTTAGAGAAAGTCCAGCCAAGCATTGGGCTTCCAGGTGTCATGAGAGCTAAAATTAGTTTCAATCATAGCAAAATCTCATTGTGAAAAAATTTGCATTTTGTCCAATAGTGTAATGAGAGAAAACCAGAATAAGATCCTTGAGATATGCTCATTTCCATTTCTTAATCATCCAGGGGCAAGTATTGAGTTCAGGGACTCTTCAGGCTCTTTCCTTATCTTTCTTTCACCTCATTTTGGCTGACACAGGCCTTTCAAAGCTCATCAGTATATTGATCAAAGTGCGGGAAGAGGAAATGAAAGGAGACAAGAAAACTGGACCAGTGAAATTCATACTCCTTAACAGGATATTTTTAAAAAATTTTTTTTATTTTAAGAATGACAGATGCATTACATTTTATTACTGAAGAAAAGCTGTTTGGTTTTCTATATGCTGTTGTTAAATAATTTGGTATAATTGAGTAGCCCATGCATTCTGTATCTCTTGTTTGCAGAGATAACTGACCATTGGCTACATGAAGTTTATTACACATATTACAGAAATAATAGCAACTGTCATCTATTGAGAGCTTATTATATGCCACACATTGTGCTTATTACTTTTGATACATTACTCCATATGTTTCACAAAAAGCCAGAGGTAGGGGGACTATTATTATTTCAGTTTAGCAGAAGAGGACATTGTTTTAGAAAAACCTCACAACTTCTAAGTGGCAGGGCTGAAATTCAAACCCAAGTTCTTAAGGATGTCATTCATTGGCCTCCTCAGCCTAACTTACAACGTCAGTACCTTGTCGTTACAATTCCTTCCACATTGACAGTCCTCAAAGAGGTGATAAAAGTGACTTACAGATGAAAGATATGATGAGAAAGGTATTCTAGATCTTCTAAATTATAATCCAACACATCCCAGACTATTTGAATCATTATTTACATTTACAAAACATTCTCTCTTCTAAGTTGAATATAGACACTCATTGTCATTCTGACAATTTTCCTCCTGTTTCTCTGGATGGAAGATAGAAGGTTCTGAATAAAGTGATTGATAATGTCTGTTCTAAAAATGACACTGTCTCTTTGAAACAGAACCAATTTCACATATCAGTCTGAGAGACCCAGATGGTATCCTGAGGGGACAGAACCAGTCATAACAAGTAACCTTTTGCAGTGTCAAATTTCACTGTTTGCCATAATTATGTGGTGGCAAGGAAACAAAAAGTTTCTAAGCACTAGAAAAACTGTGGTGACTAAATCCTATTCTTTGAAATATTTAAATTTTATGCCTCTAAAAATCAGAAACAGCCTCTTTTGGGCAATGGCTTGTCAGGATTAGTAAAGTTGTCAAATTTTAATGTCACAGACAAAAACAAATCCTACCCCATTAATATTCTGGGATGGATTAAAATTCTCATCCCCTCATTGCTAGAGATGGTACACAATTCACCTCCCCAACTAAATCATACATTTAATTTATAATGCAATGAGATGTGCAAAAGAATGCTTTTGACTATGTATTGATAGTCTTAGCTGACAGGGTAATGATGCAACAACATTATAGGCTATATCAGAAAACAGTTTCCTACAACTGGCAAACAGAGGAGTTTGCTCTTATGTTGTTGTCAATACAATAGAGCAGGCAGATTATGGCATCCTATATTGCATAGCAATAATTTTGTGGGACAGATTGTATAAAGGCATGGAAATGTTTCAATATGTCGTGTAAGTGAGGAAAAAAGACCAGGCAACTATTGTCTTTAGGATGAGATACACACCCAGTACTGACATCCAGAAGATCGGTTAATTCTTTTGAAAAGGGAGTCTAGATTTTTAAATTTGTAATAGGAGACTCAGGAGAACTCAAGCCATGAATACCATATGAGAAGCTAAATGAATTTTAGTGGACAAATTATAAATGAAAACTTTAGTTATATCTAATTTTAGGGTGATATTTCCTTATTCATATTTTTCTATGTTTTTAATATTTTCTACTTTTCTATGTTCTATTGAACATATCTGATAAACCTATTTAGTAATGTTGTGGTCATAACCATTTGCTCTTAGCCTAATTCAATAGATACCAACATGTAGAAAAATAAAAATTACAGCCCAAGTTGAACTGCAGGTGTATGTACACAAAAGGCAAAACTTATAATGCTAGACATTACAGCATAGCTTGACACTGAAAGAGAACCAACTCTACCTTGCATTCTGGACAACCATGACTTGACTGCATTGATTCCAAGAGCAAGAGTGAAGGATACAACAGGAAAACAGGAAAGACAGGAAGAAAAAAGTTAGGAACAGAAAAAGGGAAGAAAATATGAGAATAATAATTAGAGGAGCTATACCATGACATGACATGAGACAGAAAATAATCTTAGAACCAAAGTGAAAATAATACCTCAGAAGTGTAAGAAATCCCAAGGCCTTGGTCACTGTGCTGATTAGGAGTAATTTAATGAAAGGGCTAGGAATTGAATAGGAGCAGCATATTAGCTGCCTTTGGGCCAAATCCCACAGAGCAGGAATGTTCTGTCTGACAAATTGTATGAGGATGGCTTTAGGTGGGAAACTCACCCTTTATTTCACTATGGTTCCCACCCTTCTCTATGGTTTCCCGGAATGGACTAAGATATTCATGTTATCTGCCTGCCCTTTCTGGTTGTTCAAGCTGCAACAGTCTAATTGAACTAGATCCTGTAGTAGATAAAAGATAGGCACCTCATATAGTATAAAAGGTGATACTCCAGGACATTATCAGAGAAGATAGAAAATAAAAAACAGTGCTTTACTTTCATTCATTAGCAGATGTTAATTAGAGATATACCCTTGCCAGTGATTTCCTCTTATCCCATACTACTGTTATCAAAGAACACTGAAGGTCTCAGGACTCAAATCAAAGGCAGAATGAAGTGATCAGTTTGTTGTTGTTATACTCATTTAAAAAATGTAGCCAAATTACAGTTATAACTACTACATAAAGATACAGCTTAATTAATATAAAATAAAAACTCCCCTTGCCTGTGCTATATGGCTAGTTGGTAATCTCTATAAATTAAATTCAATGGATCATGACTAGAGCAACAATATCAGCAATTCTAAGTTTCTAAATAAAATTATGGGGTAAGATGAAATTAAAGGCTGTATACTGAATTTGATATAGCACCTGGGAATTTTCAAATTATTTTCTGAGTACGACCTAATTTTATTCTCCTGACAAACTAAAAATTATGGCTCTGCCTACCTTGGCTCTCTCAATGCTGACAAGGAACCTGAATCTCACAGAATTGGTGATCTGCCTGTGGTGATATAATTAGTAAACAGCAGATTCAAAGGCAATGTGTAACTCTAATTTGGATCCCATTCAAACCAAGCAACTACAGTCATAGAACATGTTTTGTATGATTTCAATGCTTTTAAATTTGCTTAGGTTTGTTTTATAGCCCAGAACATAGTTTATCTTGGTGAATGTTCCATGTGCACTTGAAAAGAATACGTGTTCTGCTATTGATGGGTAGAATCTTCTATAAGTAACAGTTAGGTCATTAAAGCACTAGGAAAATATTATGAGGCAATTGGAGAAATTAGGAATTACTTAAAAAATTTTAAATTATTATAGTTATATGTGGTTTCATGATTATTTTTAAAATGAGCTATCTTTTAGAAATATATAGTAAATATTTGCAGAAAAAAGTTACAATAGTTGAGATCTACTTTAAAATAATCTGTATGGAGGGAGTATATGAAGGTAAAAATGAAACATGAGTGGCTAGGAAGTGATATTTATTGAAGCTGAGTAATGGGTACATGGTGGGACATTAAACTATTCCTTCTGCTTATGTACGATAATTGAAAGTTTCCAAGTAAAAAGTAATATTCAAATGTCAGTCCTTAAGTGAAAAATGAACAAAAATAAAAGTAGTCTTCAAATTACCCCAATTCATTTCATTATACCTCCAATTGTTGATTACTTATGGTTCCATCATGCTAATTTGGCTAATATAAATTTTCAGATAAGGCATACTGTTATCGCTGTTTTGAAACCATCCTTGAGTACTGATTTATATACCAGAACACTTCAATTTGCATTTATTATGTGAAAATTAAACATCTCCAAGGAGTACTTGCTTTATATGAACAGTTTAATATCACACAAGAGATTCAAAAGGTATTTTTCATTTATTTACCAAAGTCACCACTTCAAATATTACTCTTGTTTTTCTTATTTTATAATTTTAAAACGTTGATTTGAAAATATGCATATAAATAAGGATACATCAACAGTCACTTAATGAACATTTAACATATTGGGTAATATAAAATAAAACAGTAACTTACGAGTCCTTGAACGTTGGCTTTGCAAATAAATTTAGGAATGTAAGCTAATTCTTTAAATCTGCCACAAATAATTCCTTAAGTGATTTCACAGGCAATCTGATTGGTCATAGCAGGAGTGGTTTCCTGAATCGAAACACTGATGTGTTCTCATTGAGGCAGGTTTTACTATAATCAGGGCTCTCCTAGAATGCTTTAAGGCTTAATAATAAATTTTTAATTCCACCTTATTCACTAGTTTTAAGTAAATAAATATGACATGCGGATAAAACTAAGGAAAAGATATTAAACTCTTTGAAATTAGACACTAGAAGACACTATCACTATTTTTTAAACCATGAAATGCAATTCTTGGAAGACATTGCTTCTTTACTTACCCTCGCCCTGGAAGAAGGTACACTTTAACAAAGGGGTCAGAATAACCATTGTTGTCTCGAGGGACAAGGTTTCTTGCTTGGAGAATATGTATTATGAGATTTCCAAGATCATAGTTGATTTGAAGCTTAAAGGAACAGCAAAATATTCCATGAACATTATGTTTTTGTTTTAGAAAACGTGTAATACGTTATCATTCAATATTTTACTATTATTTTTTTTAAATTCTCACAAGAAGCATTAACCTTCATTTTCATTTTATTTGAAACTGAACAGACCAGTTATTGTCTAATTTAATTGGAAGCTCCCAGGCACATGTTAATCACCAGCAAATGCGCTGTTCATTCTTTCCATGGTGAAAGTCCTGGCCTGTCTAAAATTCATTTATAAGGAAAATCATACAGTGCATGCTAGTTGCATTTTTAAACTAAATTTCCACTCTTAGGAAAATAGTAAATGTTGTTAATGTTCATGAATATGATTACCAGGATTTTGAAAATAAATGAACTAATTGATAAATTTATTAGAAAATGTCATTTGCACTTCATCAAATAATTAACAGTGGGTGAAATCATTATTTAAAGATAAAGTTGTCAGTACTGAAATAAAAGAATATTTAAGAATGTGTAGATTTTATCTCTTCCTATATTATATTATCTGATGTTAAAATCATAGCTTTTCTTTCTGTGCCTGGTTTTCTAAGAGAGAGAGATTAGGATAATGAAATCCCGCTCTTTAATCTTAGAAGCTGAAGAGGAAAGAAGAGGCATTGCCTCATAGATATTTAACGGCCATTGCACAATTGTCATTGAATAGGAAAATATTTACAGTTCAAATAAATATTTAAGAAGCCTGCATAATTGAGTTAACTAATTTTTCTCCTGCAAAATTGAAAGATTCTTTTTGTATTATTAGAATAAGCCTTAATTCTGCTTGATGCTGTTTTTGTTTATCAAATAACAGAAAGGAAAGGATCTATATTTCAAAGGGGAAAATTCATACATAAAAATACTAGCAAATTTTTTATAATTATACAAAACAGATATGCTATATTTATGTTGAAAATGGCATAATTCAGATGAGTCAAATTTCATAAAAATTTGATAATTACAATAATTCCTAACTTTAGCATAATTTTGATCTGCTTATGTTTTCTGGCAGAAGAGGAATCTTCAATCCCTTTTCTCCATACAGAAAAGCCCAGAGTCTCCCTGACCATCATGAAAGCAATGTGAAACATAAAACAAAGCGTCGCGAAAGAAGTGGAGGAGCTGGAAGTTTAGAACTGCAGTAACTGTGGGCTACGATGGGGTATTAAAATGTAGAATTATCCTGCAATTAATTTCACTGAGATTTAGAACAGCTTCCAAATATTTAAGGAGAAATTTTTCCCTATTTTCTCCTTTCTCTGCCAGTCTAAAAGTCCACTTTTAACTGATGAGGCACCGAAATCATTTCTTATTGAAAAGAAAATTTGCAGGCTACCCTAAGAGAATATTTTTCAAAATGTACTCTGCAGGGCCTTAGAGAATACTTAGAGTTGCTCAGAGGTTACTTCTGAGAGAGAATGAGATGCCCCCAGCATTCTCAACCAGAGCTACTCCAGTAGTGACAGATTTATTGTCTGGGTGTCTACATACATTTTCACTTAGAATAAGGTTTTGCTAAAAGAAAAATAACATGGAAATCATTGTCATAAGAAAATATCCCCTCCCTTCTCCCAAAAATCCTAAGACTCAAGAAGGAATATTGTTAGAGTAAATTTTCACTACAGGATTAAATATTACTACTCAAAGGAAAGGAAAATAAAATAAGAATAAACAAAAACAAAAACAAACCAAAAAGAAACACAGCAAATATTGGTCCATGGGCAAGAAGTTTAAAAAAAAATGGGAGAGAGAGAGAAAGAGATACTATGAATCAGAAAAATCCAGCATTTTCTTTGCTGCTTGTGAAATGAAGGAAGATGAGGTCTGGCTTTCAAGAAGTGGGAAATAGCAGTGAGACAGGAAGGTCTAGAATACATAGGTAATCGGGCTCCATCCTTCTGGATCCTTCTTAGTAAGGTGCCCATATTATGCACTTTTTCTCTATTTCCACTCTCATATTCCACTCTTGCTTTAATTAGCGTGTGCCTAGATAACCACTTAACCGATTTCTTTGTCTTTGTGTCTTCCCCTTTATAGTATTTTTTGTAGGCCACTGCTGTATGAATTTTTATTACATATTCCTTTCATTTAGGCTCTGCCTTTCTCCAAAATATTTACTGATCACCCTATTATGTAGCGGCTAACACCCCTCGGACTGTGTTCAAGGTTCTTTTTAATTCAGTCTCAACTTATCTCTACAGGAACATTTCACTGCGGCCAGAAGTCTTTCATGAAAATTTCCTCTAGAACATGTTGGAGACTTCCCAAAGGACAACAGAGGTTTGAACTAACTCGAGGATAAGCAGAGAGAAAGGAGGAGTGTGTTCCTGGAAGAAGAAATGGTGCAAGGAAATGTTCTGCTGCCGGAGACTAACGACATTAGGAGCTTAGCTGGCTGCAGTGAAATGTTCCTGTAGAGACAAGTCATGAAAATTTCCTCTAGAACTTGTTGGAGACACAGCTAAGACCTATTGTTCTCTTTCCTTTATCTGAAATTTACTATCTTTATTATTTTATATTGCATCGATTCTTTCTAAATGACATTTCTTATCTACCCTAAATTACTTTTTGGTATCATCTAAAGCACTGTTTTTCTAATATTTTTGACTATGACCCATAGTAAGAAATATATGTTATGATACAATACATAAATACAGAAACACATGCACACATAGAACTAAAAAAGATAGTGATTTATACCATTTTTTTTCTGTTTTCCTAGTCAAAATCCTCTAAAGTGACTTTATAAATTAAAAATTGGTTATGAGCCTCAGTATGAAAAACGGTGCTCTAGAAGAATTGTTCAGCAATTATTTAACAATTGTTGATAGGAGGAAGAAAAAAGGATAGCATTAGACTTATGAAACTCTTAAAGAGGAATCCTTAAATTTCCAGGAGAATCTGTCATGTTTGAAACATTTTCAACAAGTATAAAGTAACTGAGGGATAAAATGTATTGATACTGCTAAGGTATCAGGCAGACTTCAAAGTATAGAATTTCATAGATATAATTAGATTTCAAAACATATATTTGTATTCAATCACTATTCTATAAAATTGTTTCTTTTGTTACAGGTCTGTATGTGTTATACAACAGGAAAATTTCTAAGAGTGTTTACAATTTCAATGGACCAGTGAAAAAGACAGCCAAAAAGGATGGTATAATGATGATTTTTAAAACATTTTCATACCTGAATTTCCCCTGTAATTGGATGAGAGACAACCTTTGTTGCATCAGTAGGCTGCAAAAGTAAAAACATATATTACATTAATGGATAAACCCTTTATAGAATTTACCACTTCCACCTCCTTCTGAAACTAAATTCTAATTGGTTAGAATACATTGCCTGGAAAATATATTTCATCCATTTGTCTGCTTTAGAATATGGTGTCTACTTACACTTCTCAATACATGTTTAATTTTATAGATACATAAATCTATTTTTGATTTTGTTAAGCCTGTTCTGAAGCTATACTTTTATACCTGCAGGAATGTATTTTCAATTACTTAAGAAAACTAGCATGGTTGGTATAAAGTACTCAATTTAAGCATTTACAGGTTTTAAAGATCTATAGAAGATTGAAAAAGACATTGTTTTTATATAACGACTGCCTAGGAGCGCCGATAAAAGTCTACCCTTGTACTACTTTGTAGGTGCTCAGCCTCTCCCTGCTCCCTTCGAGAGTGAAGCACCTAAGCAATTGCTTTCTAATATTTCACACTCCTTAGTTAGAATTCTATCCCATTCTATATAAGTTCTCATTTCCTTCATAAGTCCCTTTTGTCAGTAAAGCCTTAAAAAGAGTTAGGAACGTGATCTGGTAGACTGATTCATATTGCTGAATAAATGACTGACTGTTGACCTGTTACATTTCAATGTATTATTTGTACAAAAGAGAGATGATGTCCCTGACCCCAGAGCTATAACAGAATTTCAGGCAAAGTGGCATTAATATAGGGAGATATTTCCTAAAATGGAGGCCAGCTTGCTCCCCTACAAATAAGGCCCTGTCTCCCTACATGTACATAATATTGGCCTTGTTTTAATAACTGGAAAGAAAAGATCCATAATATTTAGATGGATATCCTTGCTCTGCTACCTGTTCCTTTATATTTTTATCCCAGAAATGAGAGCTATCAAAGGAAGACCGCTATATTCCAGATCTTGTTCTGTGCAATAACTTAGGAATAAAAATAATGTAATCATTGGTAAAGTTATGAGATAGGGGTTAAATTTTTTAAGCTATATATCCTTTATTTGTTCAGCTCATTTATAAGAATGGCCATTTATTAATACTTAAAATGTGCTCTGTTTGCAAAGGACAAACTATTGGGTATTGAACAATTATATTTACTTAATAATTATTTTACTATTTAAATTTCAAGAAAAGCAAACTGAATTTAGAAAAAGAAGTTCCTGAAACCAGATATCCTTGCATCTCAATGAGGAAAGATAAAGAATAATTGAGATAAAAAGTCAAAAAGAAGACAGAAAGAAAAGCAGAGTGAATATTGGAAACATTTTGTTTTCATTTCTTTTTGACAGTTGTAGCTCATTTGACATATGATCATGCAAACATAACTAGATTTAACAAAGAGAACAAACTTATGGATCATTTTTTTTTATTAAGGTTATGTTGTTAACAACCTTGTGAAATTACAGTTGTACATCATTATTAGTCATGTTGTAGGTACACCACTTCACCCCTAGTGACCTCCTCCCACCCCCCTTTCCCATGGTAACCACCGATCAGTTCTCTTTCTCCATATGTTAACTACCACCTATGAGTGGAGTCATACAGAGTACGACTTTCTCTGTCTGGCTTATTTCACTCAACACAATACCCACAAGGTCTATCCATGTTGTTGTGAATGGGACGACTTTGTCCTTTTTTATGGCCGAGTAGTATTCCATTGTATATATATACCACATCTTCTTTATCCAATCATCAGTTGCTGGGCACTTAGGTTGGTTCCATGACTTGGCTATTGTGAATAATGCTGCGATGAACATAGGGGTGCATGGGACTTTTGGAATTGCTGATTTCAGGTTCTTAGGATAGATACCCAGTAGTGGGATGGCTGGGTCATAAGGTATTTCTATTCTTAACTTTTTGAGGACTCTCCATACTGTTTTCCATAGTGGCTGCACCAGTTTGCATTCCCACCAACAGTGTATGAGGGTTCCCTTTTCTCCACAGCCTCTCCAACATTTGTCACTCTTGGTTTTGGATATTTTTGCCATTCTAACAGGTGTAAGGTGATATCTTAGTATAGTTTTGATTTGCATTTCCCTGATGATTAGTGATGATGAGCATCTTTTCATGTGTCTATTGGCTATCCCTATATCTTCTTTGGAGAAATGTCTGTTCATGTCCCCTGCCCATTTTGTAATTGGGTTGTTTTATTTTTTATTGTTGGGTTGTGTGAGTTCTTTGTATCTTATGGAGATTAACCCTTTGTCGGATAAATAACTTGTAAATATTTTTTCCCAATTACTGGGCTGTTTTTTTGTTTCAATCCTGTTTTCCCTTGCCTTGAAGAAGCTCTTTAGTCTGATGAAGTCCCATTTGTTTATACTATCTATTGTTTCCCTCATGTGAGGGGTTATGGTGTCCAAAAAGATTCTTTTGAAGCTGATGTCAAAGAGTGTCCTCCGGATATTCTCTTCTAGAAGACTTATTGCTTCAGGCCTAATCTTTAGATCTTTGATTATGGATCATTTTTAATTGTTCTGGAGTGTGGCAGTGAACTCATAAGAGCACAGAGGGATATTTTCAATTATAGAAGGAAAAGGAGCAATATCTGTTGGACCCCAGGCAAACTACCAGCTCTAGGTAGTTACATTTCAAGATTAGAGCCAACTACTTTCCTTTCAATGATGTCATATCTTTGTGAGGCTGGTTTTTGATGACTGCAGTGATAAAAAATGTACTGCAAGAAAATCAGTAATACCAGCGTGGAACGGGAAACGAGTGTTAGTGCCCAATCTGATTGCATGCCTTGAGGAGTTGTGCAACACCTAGCAGGTACACATATCCCACTGACATGTAATTTTAGTTGCTGACAATGAAGCAAATACATTTTATGTGTACTATTTTTTCCAGTGGTTAGTAAGATGTTCGGACATAAATAGTAATTAAATTGTTTGTACCTAACTACTTAACAAATAAAACTCTTCAGGTATTTCTTTGAGCATAAGTGTGCCATGAAAAAAATAATGAGACATTAAGGGTGCCATGACCAGCAAAGTTTGGGAAACCAAGGACCGATTTCATAAGAACATTTAAAACTAATAAGCACTTTAGTTAAATTATTTATTTACACCAAGACTTGGAAGAAATTATTTAGACTTTAAAGATAAAAATGAAGAAAGTTTGGCTAGAATTTCAGAGACAAAACAACTTGAAGGAGTAAACTAAAAATCTGGAAGACAAAAATTCATATTGGATTAGTTTAAGCAAAATAATTCAAAATAGTCTTACATATGTAACTTATACAATTTAAAAATGTATTTAAATAATTTAGATTCATATTTTACCAGTATTTACTCAGAAGCAATCATTTAGAGTATTATTAATAGATTAATAATTACTTATGAATAATCATTTATAATGTTTAATAGATGGTGTTCTAAATATCTAAATGAATAATTATGCTAACTCTGATTTAAATATTTTAGTTTTAATACATTGTTACATTAATGTTTTGTAATTTAATATTTAATTAGTCTCACACTTAAGGAAAACACAAAGTAGTTAAAACCATAATTCTCTAAATTATCCAAAGAATATATGATATATTTGGACATATTATATTACCTGACTCAGTGATATATAAGCTTCAGACCATCACTTGATGTTTCTATAATCTCTCAATATAAATTTTTTAACATTGTAGGATTTGGAGAACAAATAAAAGAAAGTATTGCCTTTTATGCATACTACATGTTGATGAGTCAAGAAATACATTAAATCTATTTATTCAGTCATTCATTCAGCAAAAATATTTCGAGAAACTCTGTGCTAACTGAATGTTGAAGATAAAACCCTCAAACGATGAATAGGTAGTGGTCCCTTTCTTCAAGAGTGTTAGCATTTAGTGACTATACATTTCAATTAGTAATTGACATACGATATTATACACATGTACATCTGAAAAATAATCAGATTCGGTTATTGTTATTACTACTAATAAGAATTAAGTAATCTCTATACCATCACTGTCCAGTAGAATATGTGAGCCAGACAGGTAATTTTAAATATTCTAGTAGTCACATTAAAAATGTAAAAATTAGGGGCTGGCCTGGTTAAGCAGTTAAGTTTTCATGCTCTGCTTCAGTGGCCTGGGATTCGCCAGTTTGGATCCTGGGCGTGGACCTAAGCACCACTCATCAAGCCATACTGTGGCAGGCGTCCCAGATACAAAGTAGAGGAAGATGAGCATGGATGTTAGCTTAGGGCCAATCTTCCTCAGCAAAAAGAGGAGGATTGGCAGCGGATGTTAGCTCAGGGCTAATATTGCTTCCCCCACCAAAAAAGGTAAAAATTATCTGGTGAAATTAATTTTTTATTTAAAGATTTTTATTTATTTATTTATTTATTTATTTTTATTTTTCCTTCTTCTCCCCAAAGCCCCCCAGTACATAGCTGTATATTTTAGTTTGGGTTCTTCTAGGTGTGGCATGTGGGACGCTGCCTCAGCATGGCTTGATGAGTCGTGTTAGGTCTGTGCCCAGGATCTGAACCAGCAAAACCCTGGGCCACCGAAGCACAGCATGTGAACGTAACCACTGGGCTATGGGGCTGGCCCCTCGTGAAATTAATTTTTAATAATATATTTTATTTAACCCAATTTGTTCAAATATTATCATTTCACCATGAAATCAATATAAAAATTGTAATGAGATATTTTACATTCTTTTTTCATACTAGGTCTTCAAATTTCACATGTAATTCACACATACATCATATCTCAATTAAGACTGCCACATTTCAAGTGCAACTTTATAACTTTTTATTACAGCAAAAATGCTGTGAAAACTACATAAGCCACATTCTTGGCATAGAAAAGAATTATTACGTATCATAAAACCTGTCAGTATCATTTACTTGATATATGTACCATAATACCTGTTTCTTCTTCTAATCATTGCCAAAAAAGTTAACACATGATAAAAAAAAAATCAAATTTTGTATATGACAATATTACACAGACTCACAAGTACCCACTGATGTTTTAGTTCACAGTATTTATTTGTTGTTACTGTTCTGTGCAAGCCACTCTACTATGTACTTAGGGGGCAATAGAGAAAATAAGAACTGGCTCTTGGTTCTTAAGGAGCTTGAAGCCCAGTTGGGAGAATAAAACAAGCAAACTGGTAACTACAATCAAGACATCAACAGTCTTAAGAGACACAAAGCAGCTGGCACTTAGGAGGAAGGGATGAAGGAAGGATAACTTTTGACTTTAGGGAAGGATTAGAATATGGAAAGACTTCAGGGAAGAAGGTTTCCTGTTATTCTTATTTCATCTTTCCTTAAGGATTTTCACTGGCTCTTCATTTTCTGCAGATGGTAGTGTAAAAGCCAGGCATGGCATATAATGTCCTCCAATTTACAACTATCCAGGCTTCTCCTTTATTTCCTATGCTTATATATTTTGTATACCTATGTTCTAGGCATGGAAATTTTTGTTTCTGAAATTTTTTTCATGCTGCACTCTCTGCTTGGAATGTTGGTCCCTTTTTTGCCTCTACCAAAATCAGTTTGTGAGCTAAACACCAGTTTCCTAACCCTACTCTTTTGGGTGCCCTCACTCTATGTCTTAATGACTTCCAACATTATACCTTCATTGAATTTGTTTACATACCATTCTTCATCTTTAATTAGGTCAGCACTAGTCAAACTTCAAGAGGCATCGTACACAATCAGAGAACTTATTAAAACCCAAATTGCTGGCCCCATCCTGGTGTTTCTGGTTCAGAAGGCCAAGAGTGGGGTCAATAATTTGCATTTTTAACCAGTTCCCAGAAGATGCTCATGCTGTTGGACTGGAAGCATGCTTTAGAATCACTGGTCTACCTGGTATGCAGGGAAGAAATTTTATCCATCTTGGCATCTTGGCTACCAAGTATGACCCTTGACATTAAGGTGGCATCCAAAAATGTCTGGGAAAGTAGGAATGAGTTGGAAACCCTAATAAGTAGAGTACTTACTAGCAAGGCTACTTGTAAAGATCTGACAACATTATGCTTACTGTGATAATCTCTCAAGGAAAACCTTTGATCAGGCCCTTTTAGAATGAGCAGGATAAGGTCATAGGCAGAGGTGGTGCAGCAGACATTCCAAGTAGCAGGAATATCTATTAAACAGGATAATGACCCAATCAGATCATTGTGCCACAGATTAGATAGTTGGAGGGCAGTTTAAGAAGAAAAAGGAGAGATTGGTGAGTGGAGTTACCAGTAGTGAGTACAATAACGTTGGCCAAAAAATAATGCTTTGCTAAAGGAAATGGCAAGTTCGGAGAAAACAGAAAATTACCAGAGAATTATTAGAAAATTAGAACTCGCAGGATTAAGATTCAGTGACTGATTAGGCAATGTGAGTGAAGAGGAAAGAAGAGGCAATGGTATTCTCTCCTAAGTTTATGCTTAATTTCTTGGGAGGATGGTGATGTCAATTGCTGAAATAATAAATATCAGGATGATAGATTTGTAGAACTATAATGTGCTTGGTTTGGAAACTTTGCTAGCAGACCTGTCACGTATTTAGGTCTCCTAGGTGGAGATGTTGAGAAAGGAACTAGAAATATTAGTTTGTAATTCAAGAGATAGGTCTCAGCCAAAAATAAAATTGGAAATAGTAAGCATACTAATGATGTTTGAAGGCACATAGTGGCTGAGATTAACTAAAAAGAGAGATTAAGAATGAAATAAAAGGAAACTCAGAACCTGCATTTTATAGCTAATATGAGAAACATCTCTAAAATCCAAAATCTTTTAGTTTTGTATTTCAGGTTAAGGACTCTTGGATTTATTTCGTGCCCCACCCTTTATCATAGTACCTAACAAGCAGTGGTTAAACAACTAGTGAATATAGGAAAAATGTAAGAACATGAAAAAAATAAACAATATTACGGGAGATAGTAATTGCCAAATTTAAGACGAAATTGTCTTCAAATGCTTTCAAATTATATTTATATAACATGAAAACATCTAAAAAACAGAAAACAGTATTAATTATGTTGTATTTTAGTTGACTAATATACAAATTATTTAAAAATAATTATTAAAACAGAGTGTCCATGAGATAATTCTTCAAAATTAACACATACTTGCATGTGGTAAAATATAGCTGTGTAAAAATTTATTGTGAAATTTAGTGTAACTATCCTCGAAATTATTCTTAGTGAAGCTTTGCTATATTTATTTTGGAACAAGTCATTTTATGATGCAGTGATCAAAATCATCCTACATTTGTTGTTTGCTTCTGAATAAAAGGGATTTTTGGTGACATCTGCTATGTTTTTATACTAAGGAAAACACATTTTGTTTTCTGAAGTCCACTTTACTCATGGATAGCCTATCCCTCCTGTATGTCTCAACACATAAAGAAAAACCTTTATTCACATTAAACAAAAGAATACTTTTTCCAATGTATTTATCAACCATGAGGAGAGTTTCTCTATTAAGAATCAAATCTATGAGAGAAATATTACACATTGTCTCTATTTTCATCTGCTCTTATTAGGTTAAAAATTAATTCTATGTTCTCTTTTAATTCCTCAGCAACTTTGAAATAATACTTTTGGAAACATTTGTTTCAAATGAAGATTTGCTTCAAGAAAAATTTATTAGTATGGAATTAGGGATAAAATTCAAAATGGCAAGAATGTTATTGTTTTTCTTTGTTTCTTATTGTCCTAAATTCTCCTTATCTTTGTGTCTTTTTACTTTTTATTTAAGTTGGAAAATCTAATTTAATATATATCTCATGTTTCCAAAAAGATGCAAAACTAATATTCAATACACAAAAGAGGCTCAGATTTATGCAACAACAGCAAAGAAAAAGAAGCAGGAGATATGAAGCATCAAACAATTTTTCAAGTTCTTCATAATAATAACTACTAAAATATTTTAAGAAATGTAGAAACACATCATCATGGTACATCTTGACCCGTTACATACTTGGAAATGGAAAAATGTTTTTGTTTCAATAGATCATTAGGAAACGAGAAACCACAAAAAAAAACCCTTAGAAAATGATACTGTATTTCCTATCTCCTAGACTGAATAAGGAGCTAGAAAATAAGTAACTAGAGGTCACATTGAACGCTTCTCACCTTGCTGCTGCCATGTTTCTTTTTGCTCACTGAAGGTGACCCTGGTTGCCCAGGGCTGGGAACGGAACTGGATCCTGCTGATGTAGGACCTGAATGAACGTGAGATCCTTTTTCAACGACGGAAGACAGAACGAGTGGTGACTGTTGTAGTGAAACCTTCTGGAGCTCTGCTGCCAACTGCTTAGGATCAACCCCTGGGGATTTCGCTTTATCCACTATAACAAAATGAAATGGCTTTACATATTTCCCAGCTTAATAGGTACTTAATACAATGGGACTTATTTGAGATCTAGATGACAAAGTCAAAATATTACTTATAAAACAGGCTAAATTTTTTAAAATAAACAAACACAATTGTACCTTTATGTATCTTTATCTAAAGTCTAGAAGGCTCAGAGAAGAGTGAAAGACTGCTGAATTACAGAGGGAAATTGAGGTTCCCATTGCATCTTAGGAAAAATGTTTTTAATGTTTTATATACAGAACTGTATGTATGAATGATAAAATATTCTATTTTATTCACAGGGACTTAACTTGTATGATTGGCTATTTTTCCCTCTCTAAATCTTACATGTCCCTTTCTCTAAGGGGGAAACTTCAAAGAGTACGTTTACATTTATAGTTGTATGAAAATTCTACAGGCCTTGGTCTGTTCTGTTTGGTGTAGTAACCCAGACTCAGTGCTGGCCTGTAACATAGGAAGTGCTAAATAAATATGTGTTAAACAAAGGAATGAGTGATATTTTTAATCTTATAATTGATCTAAATTTGTAGACTATATTTGTTATCTAACAAAGAGTTAAATATATTTCATCGTATATTATGAAATTACATGTTGATTTTTATTTATTATAAAAAGGCAATCAAAAGGTTCAGGAATAAGTGTTTCAAACCCAGTTATGATAAAAAGAATCAAGTATTATCTAAGAACTATATAAACCAAAAACAAATGGCTCCTTGGATTACTGTGATGGAATGAATTTAATTTTAAAGAATTAAAAATGTGAACTGACACAGAATGAACTTCATATGAATTTCTTTAATGGGTCTATCATGCAAATATGTTTCCCTAGAATTCTAAAAATGTAGCAACAGTGCTTTTTTTAGCTGAAGAAGATTAGTCCTGAGCTAACATCTGTGTCAGTCTTCCTCCACTTTACATGTGGGTCGCTGCCATAGCATGGCTGAGGAGTGGTGTAGGTCTGCGCCCGGGATCTGCACCTGCAAACCTGGGTCGCCAAAGTGAAGTGTGCCAAACTTAACCACTAGACCAAGGGGTTGGGCCCTACAATGCTTTTGATGTTGTTTTCAAATACATAAATATGTGAACATCTATGTATCTATGACTTTATTTTTGCCTGTATTGTTGTTTATGTCTATCTTCATCTGCGGCTCCATCTGCCTCTACAACCACCTGTACTTCTTTACCTGCAGTTGAAAGCAGATTGCTTTCACCTACCGGCTTTTGGTGCTTCATGAAGTTCCAGGTGCTGGGGATTTTCAGAATCTGATAGCATATTGAGGTCCCTAAAAATTAAAACAAAAAAATTGAGAAAGAAATTGAGGAAGCCTGAGACAAAAGGCCCGTTTTTTCCAACTACCCTGAATATTTTTTTTCAGTAGGAAAATGATAAGTGGTTAATGATAGAAAGCAATTTCAAAGCATGCTCACCCTTCTAACCAAATATATACTTGCAGTGCTGTTAAAAGTCAGCTGATAAAAATGATCATTTAAGGTGAAATCTTTATGGATTAAATGTAAGTTCATTTGAAACACTATACACATCCATGAAATCTAAACGGGTTTAGGCTTTCATCTAAATGAAGCATGTTTCAATAAAACATGAAAGGGGAGAGCTATTGACACAATCAGAAACAAAATTAGCTGAATTCTTTCTATGCTTTAAACTTAGATTCTGAACAAGAAATCTATAAAACTTGTATTCACTTTATTGTCTAATTACAGAAAATTTTGCTGACTGGCAAAGGTTCCACCTTAACACTTTTAAATTAAAAGAGCCATGAATAGCCAAAAAATGGAAACAAAAAGATGGGGAAAAACTCACAGTCTTACACATATCTCTGCTTCCCCACTTTGCTGACTAATGATACTCTGCACTTCTTCATATGTTTTAGAAGTTAAAGGAATTCCATTCCATTCCAATACTTGCATCCCTGAAAAGACAAATTCAATTATAAAATAAAACATGTGTGCTATTTCTAGTCTGGGTCCACAGGGCATAGAAGACATTGCTTTGCATTTAAAAACCAACTCAGCACACCGTGTCAAAGAACACCAGTTCAAAGTTCTCTGGAGCATTCATACCAAAACTATACGTAACTTGATCGCATCAACTTACCTGAACACACAAAATATATCTAATACAACATGCAAATTGTTGCTTTTGAAAATCTATTAAACATTATCAAACACATGCATTCTGTTCATACTGCTATAAAGAAAACGTTATTGAATATATATTCCTTAGACCAATTTTGTGTAGAAAAAAATAATAATTACAACCACCAACATAATTTTTCCATGGGGACAAGCAACTAGAAGAGTGTAAACTTCCATGTTCTATTGAGGAATGGGAGTAGTAGAAAAAAGTCATTAGGATTTTGCTGTGAAGCTCCCCTTAAGAAATTGTTAGAGCTTGAACTTTGCTCAGATAAAACAGATTTCTACTTTGTTTCTTTTTCTTCACTGCATGGAAGACATTACTGAATGGAAGAAGCAGGAATGTCACAGGGAGGGCAGCTTCATGGGCAGGTGGCCTGCAGTAGCTCAGAAGGTCCCCATGCTTGGTTTAATGCTTTGCTGTTATCTTAAAATTCAAAATAATATTTGAACAAAGAGCCCTACATTTTCATTTTGCACTGGGTCCTGTAAATTGTATTGCTGGATTGGTTACAGGGCATTTCATGCTTCTTCTCCATCTAGAAAGATAATTTTCATATAAAAAAAGCAGTTATAATTAATATTTCCACATTTTACATTTAGTTTCTTTTGTCCATTTTATATGAGCTGTCAAAATAATTTAGGGGTGCATATTTGGCAGGAATCACATAGTTCTAATATGTGGCTATGTGAGCTGAATATAAATTAGATACAACTATCCAAAGTTATAGTGCCCAAATATTTGTGAATGCTACCAGCTTTACCCAAAAAAAAAAAAATCTGTATGCCATAACTAAAGCTATAATTTAAATAAAAAGAAATGTCTGTTGAACAATTAGATGTTCAATGAGCTTCACAGATCCCCATGTGAAATTCCCTATTGCTCACCATTGGCCCTGTGGGAAGTTCTAAAATGGCATGACTGAGTCTTTAAAAGTTTTAATGATTTTTTAATACACATTGGAAAGCATATTTCCAGTTGCAAACAAGTAAGGGAAATGCTTTTATTACAGTGAAATGGCAAAAAGAAGTCCATAAAAATGCCCACAATAACACAAACACGAATGACTTTTCTATAACTTACTCCAAGAAAACTTTATCTTCAGATGGGCCTTAGGTTTATTTCAACAATCCCAGGCTGTTGTACACATAAAATGAGAAAATTACATAAAAGACAGTGATAATACCACTAAAGGAAAATTTATCACACTGAAAGAGGAAAAGCACACTGAAAAACACACTTTTCTTTAGTCAGGAGAAAGAGTACATTTATGAACGGATGATTTTGAATTGAAACAAATTAATGGTGTTATAGTTCAGAAATTGCATTGTCACTTTTCTGCAGAAGCATATTTTATGAAAAGAAATAGCTGCATAATCTTCATGCTTTTTCTTTTGAATTTACCTGCTCATTTTTTACATCTCAAAATAAAGGGGTAAATTTACAAAACATAATTATCCAGTAAAACGAAAAATGCTTCTAGTCATAAAAAAGTGAAAATCATTTAGAATAATTAATAAAATTGCTGAAAAAAATTTACAGATAGCTAGGGTCTTGCCTGGATAGAGACCTGAGACCATGAAATACATGATCTGCTCTGTCCCATAGTATACCAGCTGAATTTCTTTTCCACTCCCTCAGTTTCCCACCAGAGTTGGTGCAGTATTGCTGTTCAAAATTTTTTGCTAGTTCTTTTATCTGGACTTGGTTTCAACAGTGACTATCAGACACTACAGGGAATGTGACTACTTAAAATAGTCATGTAATAACACCTCCCCTTTCCATTGCCTCTCCAACTTCCTACAGACCCGACAAGAACCATACTAAAATAACCAAGTGAATATACAAACCACTCCTTATTAATTCATAAGATGATTTTAGTAGTTGTGAGAATTAAGTATGACGTGATTTCAAATATGATACTTTTGAAACATATTTAATTATAAAGTCCTATAAACTATTTTAAAATTCACACAAAAATTTGTTGAAAATGATCATACTGCATGAAAGTTCACTGAAGTAGTATTTTATCATTTAAGATTTGAATATAGGTCTATTCAGTTAAGATAACTTTTTACTCTGATTTTGTTTTAGAAATAATTCCTGGAAGATGGTGTACACATTAATGGTTATACTTATTATTTAGCATTATTAGAAAACACTTACATTTTCTTTATATTTAAATTATATCAACATTCACAATAATTGTTCAAGTTTGAGACTGTATAGATGATACTTCAATATATCCCTAGAAAGTGCCTGTTCTAATAGCTTCTAATAGGAAAACTAAGATAATCCGAATTTTTGCTGAATGTGCAACAGTGATGACAGCATTTGCTACTCAAAATCTCATACATAATAGGTTATTACAAAACAAAAAAGACAATAATCAGGTAATTTTTGAATTTTAAAAAATTTTGAAAATTAAAAAATTTGAATTTAAAAAAATTTTTGAATTTTAAAAAATGAACAAACATAAAACATCATCAATATGTGTTTTTATAACTTCTGGGATTACTTAATTTTGTATGCTCCTCAAACTAGCAAAAGTTATTCTTCCTTTTATAATACACAATTTCATGTATGTCCTTTCTTTGTCTATATTTAGTATTTACCATTAATTAAAAAACATCTTCTGGATTAAAATTATTAAGTTAACAGTTGAAATCTTATAGGTTACTGTATATCCAAACGTATATCACACAGAAGCTCATGAATTCTATTTATTTATTCCACAAATATTTTTTCAGCACCTAGAATGTGGCAGACACTACACAATTCATCACCTTTGAGCTGATCACCATCTTTGTGTCTAATATTTTATGCTGTTACAAAAATTAACAAAAATGATACTCTGCTAGGAATAAAATCTTGGCAATGAGCAAAATGAAGACAATAGAGAAGAAAATTCAAAAGTGTTATAAGTACATGAAGAAAAGCCCAGACTCATTAGTGATTAGAAAGTGCAAATTAAAGCAATAATGACATTTTACTTAACTCTCATCATATTGCAAAAAGTTGGAAAGTCAGAAAATACTATGTGTTGACCAAGATGTGGAATTAGGGGATCTTGACTTCAGATGAGGTTATACTTGTTAGATAGTTGTTAACTTTATCCCCACTCTATGATGTGAGACTATTACGACTATGTCAGGATGAAAAATAAAACAACTGCTTGTTTACAATTTATAAACATGTAATTATTTTTATGAGAATGCAGATAGGTGCGACCACTCTGGAGGGCAATGCAGCAGAACATGATTACATTAAGCGCATGTACACTCTATGACTCAGAAATCTTCTTCTTGAGTATCTATGTGTGAGGAGGTGGTGGTATCAGGACAAATGGACAAGGAGTGTGTAGTAAATGCTCATGTGAATACATTCAGCAGAGGTTGCAGGAAATAGACCAGATCAGGTGTTAACACCAAAGGTGGATCCATCTTAAAATCATTTGCCAAGTAAACACAAGTGAGAAACAGGATCTGCTCTACAGTGCAATGACATTCCTGTACATTACAGTGATAGTCTTAGAAACTGACATTACGTATTATGTAAATAACAGATATCACCTAAATTATAATAGTTGCTCTTAGAGGGAAGAAGGAAATAGGAAAAGAAAATGAGATAAAAGAAAATGAATGATATTAATAAATGAATGAATAAACAACCAACCAAACAAAAAAACCACACACACACTGAGGAGGGGACCTTATATGAATCAGCGAGGCTGGAGTGCTATGAAATGAGAATCTGATGTGGCTGGGGTGAAAAACAAGACAAAACAAACAAATTTAACCAACAATATATATGCATATAAGAAATTATTTGTAAGTTATTGTTTTACACCTTTTATCCACTCATATTATTAACCATGACTATAGATTAATTTCCTAAGTTTGGATATCTGCTCGCAAGAATCCTTTATAAACTAGCAGCAGCTCAGCTGAACTGAGCCTCTGCCCTGGCTTTCCAAACAGCGAACAAACCCTGCAAGTGAGTTTCAGGCGTCCAATACCTTGTCCACATCAGTTATACTAATTACTCATTCAGTTGCAAGTTAGGCAGTGTTAAAATAAGGGCAATACATAGATAGATGGATTTTATTATTTTTTATATTTTACAATTTTAACCTATTTATGCATTAATATGAAAGGAAGGAAAGAAAGAAGGATGGAAGAAAGGAAAAAGGAAAAGGAGCAAAGAATGGAGGGAGGGAATCTTTGGTAAAGGAAAAAAATAGCATTGGAATAGTGTCCTGCTTATTTACAGGACAAAGGAGACACCCTCAATCACGGTAAGACATTCAAAATCTAGATCTATTTTCCTGAGGAAACTCATCTAAAGTATAAAATCTTAAGACTGAAAAGTATCTTGTTGAAGACCTAATCTCATAATAATACCGCCGTTTTTGTCACTGTGATTATTACTGCTATTATTTTTACTCTTGGAACGCACAGTTCAAACAAAACTTAAAATAGGGCTTCAGTATACAAAACATAAAAATGGAGCTATTTTCACTGAAGCAGGTTCCATCTACCTGCTCTCCTTCTCCTCATTCTCCAGTTCCCACTCGATGGGTATCCTTAGACAGTTGTAGGGAATCCTAAGATTCTCTGAGCCACCTGAATAAGTTATAAGTTTAAAATGACCTCAGAACTTGAATAGGGCATAAGAAAAATTTCCATTAACTAGGACACTGTCTCCAGGGATAAACTGTAATGAAGACAATCTGAATTTCATTTTACTGTAAAGGAGTCTGAATTGCTAAAA